GAATTCTTAAATAGCCTTAGAAGAAGGCTAGGTTAAAGTTTAAATAGGCTATGGTATAGAGAGAAGTTTCAATTGTGGTAAGACTCTTTCTGCCATGTGCCACGGCAGACACATCAATGTACTGTGGTGCACATGCAAAATCAACACTTATTAGTTCATGAAAATAGACCCGAAATCAAAAGTGGGGTAAGTGAAATTGTGAGGAAGCGATGGGAGATGACTAGTAACTATTAGGGCACAATCTTTGAACCATTTTGAATGCATTTTGGAGCTTGTTTATGGTTAAGTAAGTTTTCTACCCTCTTCCTTCCTCCCATATCCAAAATTTTTGACTTTTGGGGTAATGGGGGCTTTGATCTCAGTTTTCTTGGGTTTAGACCGAACCCATTAACTTAGAAAAGGTCTTGAGTTAAACCAAATCTCTAACCCTAGGTTTATGAGTTTAGTTTGGATTTATAATTTTTGTTGAGGGTTTGAATAAATCTTAGGTATAATTTGAGAGTTTTTGAACAATGCGGATATTGGGTTAATAATTTTGGTATGTTTGAATGCTTAATAAGATTGTTGGAGTGTTTTGAAAGGGTTGATGTTGTTAAATAAGAAATTTGAGAGTTATGGGTACTTGAAACCTAGTGAATTTGAGGTTTATTCGGAATGATAATTGATAATTGTCACTTAATTATGTAGATTAGAAATTGTTCGAGTATTATTATACGAATTGCAACGTGTGGAGCTAATGTTGAACTACAGTAACCCTTTTATGATAAATGGTTGAGGTAATGAAATAATTTAAACTATTTGATTATATTGCTTAACTATTTGTGAATAGATAATTGTTTCTTGAGATTTGATAACCTTGCATATTGCAAAATGTGATTTTTTGCATATAAAAAGATTTGCAAATGATAAGAATGGTGAAAATTTTATATGGATTGGTTGAAAAATTTGATATGTATATGTGTTATATATGAGATATGTCAATATAATCATGTTAAGGGGTGAAAGTTCACCCTTACGAAAGAGTAGTGAAAATTCATATGACATGTATCTCCTTAATACCTAATGAGGCATGGTGTTAGAGAATGTCTTCATAGTATCTATGCAGGATACAGCGTTGGAGAGTGATACTCTTTAGCATTAGTAATGTAGTGTTGGAGTAATGACACCCTGATTCGTGTGCGATAAGGGGAGACCATAGTTAGGAAGTGGGATAGGACACCTTTAGCTGGGTAATCTTACCACTAAAGGTGATCTTACCACTAAAGGTGAGTTTAAACCATTGTGAATGTGTACTTAGTCCAAGAGCCCATAGTTTCAATAAGGATGATATGAAGGCTTGGATTATAGAATGATCATGCTAGTAATAAATGACTTATGCTCATGGAAAATATATGTTATATATGATGGAAGAGTATTTTTGAAGTATAATGACTTTACTCACTTTTAGTTGTACATGTTAATTAATAATAGTGAATTATTCTTTACTAAGATGTTTATCTCACCCCATGGTTATATTTTATAGGTGAGGGCTTCAGTAAGGGTAAAGGAAAAGAAGGGGTAACTGAAGAGTGAAGAGCTCATTTGTATAGCTCTTCTCCTTATCATTTTGGTTTGTAACAAATATGCCATAATATTATGCCAACTTAAAAGCATTTCATGATTTTGTTATCATTTGTATGAGAATATGTAAAATGTGTGCATATCTCAGCTTAAGCTTGTAATGTTTGTGATCAAATGTGAGAGGCTAAGATACTAATACAAGTGATGTGATTGAGATGTTTGTATGTTGAAAAGAGTAAAATGATTATTATCTTGAATTTGATTTACCCCATTGCATTATTGAGAATTGAGAGTTTGGTAGTCATTTTGCATGTGAAAGGTTATTTGTTGATATGATTGGCTTGATATATTGTGTATGGTTCATTTAAGATGGTCAAAGTGATTTTGGAGCTAATGTCATTCGATAATGTGAATTGGACACCTTTGAATGTGTTTTGAGGTAAAAACAGACCAATTTAGGTTTAGGTGTCTATCTTTTTAATGAATAACTATTTGAGTGTGAGATAGATGTTATTAGTTAGAGGGTTCAAAGACCTTCATGTGAACACTTGAATTGCTCAAATTGAAAATCAAATGGCGAAACAGCATGCTTTGAAAGTTAGTTTGGGGTGCTGCCATGATAGCAGGTGCTATCGTGACAGTAAGAGTGCACCACAATGCATGTTCAGCGAGAGCATGGATCTTTGTGCCATCTATTGCGGCAGATGAGGTATACACAATAGCAGATAGTGCAAATTCTGAATTTTTCAGTTTTGCTCCAAGTGTACTTTTAAGTGCAAATTATGCTTCTATTACTTGGTTTAACTCATCTTAAACTATAATTTGAGCTCAAAAAACTTTTGAAAGGGACTTTTTTTAGGATCCCAATTTTGTAAACCATTTACTTTTAAACCCTTGAATTGTGATAGATTTTACTTAATCCTGGTTATCATAACGGCATGTTAAAGTGTTACTCTGATAATATCAAAGTAGACATTACATCAAACATCTAAACACTTTCACTTACCCATCTTAGGTTTTTATCATCTTATTAAGTTCTCTTTCTACTCCTACTAGCCCTAACATACTTGTTACCAAACTTTCACCTTTTTTAACCTATTAAATTAAGCTTATAGTTTCAAAGCTTATCTATTAACTTTTAAATCAGTTGCAAAACTTTAATTTAACTCGTAAAAATCTTTTTATTATAAAAGGGTAAGAAAATAATCCTTTAAAACTCTCTAATTTAATTTCTCTATAACTCAGGCTAAAAGAAATTAATGTAAAATAGGATCTTAAGGCAGTATAAAACTTACCCAAAAAGCGACAGGTTAGAAATATCTCCCAGCTGATTGTAAAGCCTTGCCCTTACAGAACTCATGTTCCTCTCCTTCTCCTTTATGCTTTTCTCTCTTTTCCTCTCTCTTCTCATGAGCAGATTCAAGCTTTATTAATCAGATTTTTGTGCCATGTGTAGATGCATTACGGTGCATGAGGCATATATTGCGGTGTGTGACATAGTGAGGAAAATCTCACTATACTCGTACGCTTCACTCCAAATCGCCATTCTTCTGCTCAATTTTATCCATTCAACAACCTAAGAAGTCAAAACTTCAATTTGCCATCCAAAATCCTAATTATCTAGTTAATCCACTAAATTATTAATTTATCCTTTAATTAGTAATTAGTTTCTTTGATTAAATTTCAAGATATTACAATGATTTGATGCTTTATCAAGAAATCTTCCCACCATATTAATGCATAATAAAAAAATTGATGAGTAGTGATTTTTATTGCCTTTTTACCAGGCATATTGTTGGATTAAAAGATTTGTTCCATTTTAATTTCCCAATTGAGATAGACATATGGATTTTGATTACCTTTGAATGGTGGATATTTAACTTTTTGGTTGGAAAAGTCAAATTTAGATTGAGATTTCTTCCTTCTAGAATGAACTTCTTCACTGTAACCACTACATTCATCTCCTTGGAAAGCTTTTAGTTCTCTAAGTTCTCTTTCAAGTTGAGTAAGTTTCTCATAGAGCCTTAGCATAATCAAATTTAGGTTTCTAGGAAGAGTTTTTCCCTGAATGGAAATACTCACTCATGATGAAGCTGAAAGGTTAGTATAGCAAAGTAAAAAAATTTAGATATCATACACTTGCTCATGTATTTTACTCAATATAATGTCACTCATATTTATCACTCTTTTAATGTGTAGTTAAACACTATTCACCCAAATTCAATTTGGCAAAGTTCTAGATGAAAAACGACGACATGAAATAATAGTTATGGTGAAACTAATGTTAAGTTACAAAAAATGTGCAAAAGATGAGATATGATAAAGTAGGTGAGATAAAATAAGATTAGATGAGATATAATAAGATAAGATATAATAAAATTCACCAAATTAGAAAATATATCAACTCTATCCTCTGCCATATTGAATCTCCACTCTCTCTTTATTTTTTTTATATCAAATTTTCTTTTAAGCTCTCTATTTCTTTTTCTTTTTTAATTTTTTGCACCTTTTTCTGCATGATTTCTGTTTTTCTTTTTTTTAATAACGATGCATGCTTTTTTCCTTTGAAGCATGTTGCTTTTTGTTTCAATATGAACATGTAAGGGAAAGAGATATTCAAAAATCAGTAACAAATCAAATATGAAAAAAAAATGGATAAATGATATATGAAAGAAATGATGAATGAATGAGAATGATGAATATAATAAATAATGAAGAACACAATAAAAATGAATAATATATGGAAGAAAGGATAAACGAATGAAAAAGATGAATATGATAAATAATGAAGAACACAACTTGAAAAAGTAACTAAGGTTGTGAATACCAAATGATGCGGGGTAATTAAATGATAGCTCACAATAATTTAAAATTCCATAATATATTATCTCACGGAAAACAATACTAATCAAAATAGTTTCACAATTGAAAAAAAATGCAATTCATAAATTCAATCAAGTCTTTCTAAATACAAATGGCTGAACTAGACTTCTAAAAACTTCCAAGTGAATCTATGATTCCAAATTGATAGATCATATCCTTAATAGATATGTTTTATTCTTATTTGAATTTAAAACATAATAAACTAATTTTTTTAAATTTAAGGAAAAACTAATTAGACTCATGGGTCTTAATATTTTGGGTTAGGCCCAATATGCTAAGAGTCTTTCTTGGGTCTTTAAGAACTTCATTTGCCTTTAAGTTTCTTTGATCATTTAGAACACCCCTAATTAATGATTTCAAGGCTTCTTTCATCCTCTTAGTTCTAGATCTAATCATTGATTCTCCAATACTCTGTAACGAATCAAATGTATTAAATGTTAGATTTTAACCCGTCCCTTGATTCCTATCATTAAGTGGCATGTGTTTAATGTACCGTTTGAATGCTTTACAAATTGGAGAACTCACACCTCTGTAATCTACTCTGTTTCAACAGAAAGTCAGAATAAATATGTAAGATTTATTCATATTTTTCCTTGAAAGGCTTGACAATGGTCTCTAAACAGACAAACAAACAATTACGTTGAGCATCTTAAAGATGTATTCAATAGTGAGAAAAGCTAGACTTGGTTAAGCTGTCCAATAAATGATTCATAAATTATTCCCATTCCACAAATGCAGGTAAGGTCAAAGAAGAGACATTAATGGTGGTTTTGCCATCAGCACTGACAGGATCATAAGGGGAAGGTTGTGAAAACTCCATAGGCATTGATTTCCAGTGCAAGCTTGGCTCCCACTCTGCTTCTTTCAGAACCCTCATTATTTCTTTTGCCACTATCTTGCTTCCCACACTTGACAGATGAATTCCATCCCTGATAAATCATTCAAAAGTTCTAAGGATTCTGTGTGCAATAAGTACATTGTAAGGTTCTTCAACTTGACTCAATATAATTCAGTTCTTGTAGTTTATTGAGTTAAAAAGTTACAAGGATCAAGTTGTTTCAAGTCAAGAATCTATAAGAATTGAGTTATTGCAATTCAAAAAACTGTATTCTCTCTCCCTCTCTATTGGTTAACTATAAAGTTGCACTACTAAGAAGTTATGAATGTGTGGTTGATTTGAATTCCATGGAGGCTTGTAGAGTTTGCTTTGATTAAATATAAAATAGCTCTGTGAACTAATTTACTTACGTGAAGCAGACATCTAACCAGTCATCTCTTTGCTGGAGAGCATTCCAGAGATCAATGGCTTTTATATTCATCTCTTGACAGAGCTTCAAGCATGCTTCTGAATATCTCCTACACGATTCGTTGGTTCGCGTTAAACCCAACACGCCACTGCATTGATTCACCCAAATCATTTTCCTCATCATAATCTAGAATTTGAATTGAATTCAAGTTTCAAAAAGACACAAGAGATGGAAATGTTGACACATCTAGTCTTTTGCCTCTTTTCATTTGATTTTGAACTCAATGATGGCAAAAGAAGAAGAAACAAGGCGTGAGACCTGAGTGATTTCTGAATCTGAGCCTCGTTGATAGGGGGAGAAGTGAGGAATATAAGGCGAGTCTTTTCTGAAAGGCTCTGCTCATCATCAACATTTCTTATCAGTGTCACCCATCAAAGCTACACACACATGTTTATGGTGAATTATTTAACATAAATGAAGGGGAAATGTACAGTTGTATACGGTACAACTGGTATTTGAAATCCTTTCAACCTAACTAATCCAAATCGAGCTGGGTTGAAAGGCAACAAATTCTCTCAACAAATATTTGATGTAGCTGCAAACTTAGAACTTAAATTTAGAATCTTTAGACAAATTACTATAGATCCTAACCAAATGAGCTACATGCTTGTTGGTACAAAGTGAACTTTACATTTGGGGTGAATTACAGTCAAGTTTTAAAATATTGAATTAATGACAATTTGAGAGTTATATTTGAACTTTAAATAATTTATCTATAAATGAAATTCAAAGATTTGTAATTGTTTGAATCAATATTTCTAAGTTATTTTTTCAAAAAATTTGTCACCTAGTTGTGATTAATTAATTTTTTTAGAACGTAACTATCATTTTATATTTATACAACAGTTAATTTTTTAGATGAGCAGTGTTACTTACTGTTTATGATTAATATGTGTGTCAACAACTACGTCTAGTTTCGTGTGGCAGTGATTGAGGAAATAGGAATAAAATGGTGAAGAAAACCTGAAGATGGAGAGCAATGGTCCTCATGTTGTGAATGTATTCGTCAAGAGGCACGTGAGGACCCAGACCCGATGGGTGCGGCAGCATTGAATCATTCCCCCCGAAATACACAATTATCATTGCTGGTTGCACTCCTCCTTCCTGAATTTGGTACACACAGTACACACACACACACAAACGCAAAAGAAGTTACAAGACTCAATTCTGATAATTTTCAAGTCATCTATTGTTAAAGATCTTGAATACTCTATCCATTTAATATTATAAAATACTTTTAATCCAATTATACACTCTATTGAATTATTTAATTATTTTAAAATAATATATTTTTTATGTTTATCTTTATTTAATAAGGTGTATCAATGAAAAAACCTTATTAATTACATTCCTTAATTAATAATATTTTTTTAAAAATTTTATTAATTGCATTTTGAAAAACAAAAAATATTTTATATTTTTAACATGATATTTTAAAAAATATTTTATAATATTGAACAAAAGGAGTATGTCATTCTCATAACGCAAATTTATCAATTGAACTACGAGTGTTTACTATTAAAACATAGCATAAATTTACAAGGAAAACTATACTTGAATTTGGTCCTGGAGAATAATCTTTCCTTTAATGTGAGAATGATGTAATAATCAAATGGATTTTATTGACAAGGAAGGGATTTGATAATCAAATAGATGATTCAATAGTAGATATGAATTATGACTTTATTTTACAAAATATAACTTTTTAGATTTGTGAATATATCATTTATGCAAAAAGACTCATTAAAATAAATCACGTGGATACAAAAAATGGGGATTATTAATTTAATTTACCTTTGGGAAGACTTGAGACAGAACCTCCAAAGCACGCCTTGAATTCCATCCTGAATATCCACGCAATACTATGTCTGCCTACATTTGTCACCCCAATATTTCAATTTTTATTTACCTGAATTTGTATTATTTCATTTCAAACAATAAAATATTATGCGTTATTGCAATTATATCTGAATCTAATCAATTGCTAAAATAATACTCAAATGAATCCAATGAAACTCAAAATAAAAAGAATCCAATGAAATTAACGAGTGGATTCTCCACTGTATTTATTATTTTTCCTTCTCTTCACTTGATTTAACAAATTCATGTAAACATATGAAATAGTATTTCTATATTTTTTTTAAAAAAAAAGTCTCTTTCATGTATATGTATGCGTGTATAATGAAAGTAAATTATTCTCCCATCTGTTTTAAAACATTTAAATAATACAACTGTACTTTTGTTATAAAAAAAAATCTCATTTTCTTATGTAGTTTTTGGAGCTTAGGCCAATATTAATAACTTGTAAAAGATATAGCTTACTATGATTTATTTTTTTGGTTGACAAACCGAGTCAACTTGCTATGATTTTACATTGTGCATTGATCTTAAATTATTTATAAATTTAAATATAGTTGTAGGTTATAGTACAAGAAATCACGTCAAAAAACACCAAAAGATTGAATTAAACTTAAATAACGATTTAAAGATTTGAAAATTTAATATAAGAACAGAGAGTTTTTCAGTGAATTAGTCTAAAAGTTTATTAATCTATTACTTGCAGTCATCAAAGCAAAGAATTTGCATCCCTTCCAACTATTTGTTATTTTCATGCTCTTATTTGAAACCCTCAAAAGACAAATTTGCAAATAACATTTGTTAATTTGTGAAGCAAAACCATTTCCATAAGTTTTTTCTTTACAAATTCACGAATCTCATTTTGAGAATTACAAATTATAGGACAAGAATAGCAAATTGTTATACCAATTCACTAAAAGATCTTTGGTCATTCTTTCAGATTTTCAAATCTTTTAATCTTTAATTCAATTTTCTGTCCATTAATAACATTCCCTATATTTTATATATACTGGAAAACGTTGAAGAACTAAAAATGCTTCATCTCTGACTATGACCATGTATCTTGTCTAAAAATAGTTTTACACTTCCGATTCGGAGGAAGCGGTCAATAATTCAAATAAAAAACAAGGAAATAAAGAAAATTTGAGTTTTTAGTGATCAAAATATACTCTTTTCTTCTTCCCATTTTTTTTTCTTGGATTTTAGCCAACATTTTCAGAATAAAAAAAATAATCCAAGAAGAACTGATGAAGGACTTTGTTTGGAAGGAAGGAATGAATGAGAGGTCCAAATAAACGTAAAGTTAGAAATAAAACAAACCAAAGTGGTTGATATGGCTGGATTACATTTCATTTCAGTGCCAAACGAAGGATTTGGAATCTGCTTGCTCCATTTTTACGACAGAAAACATATATATAAATCCAAACTAATCACAGAAGAAATAAATGGTCAGCAAAGAAGAAGAAGAAGAAGAAGGTACCCGACGAGAATAGAGGTGGGCGAGAATGGAACCCCAACCTTGATTGTTAAAAGAGAGCTCAACAATGGAGGAACCAAACAGCACAAACTCAGGCCTCACTGGTCCAACCATCTCTTTCTCTTTCTATCTGCAAATTAATGAATCTGGGAATCACAACAAAGCTTTATTATATATATAGACTTTGACATCACTTATTGAGTTTTTTTTTTAAATTTTTAATTCTGTTTGGTCCCCTCACCATCATCGAATTGTCGCTATTATATATATATATATATAGTATTTATTTAATTTCATAATTTAATGATCCATTGGATGCCTTGCCACCTCAACCTCCCTTGGCTCCTTATTGTGTCTTTTCTCTTGTCTATTATTTATTGTTTCATTTGTGAGTTCAATGTAAGTTAATATTGAATCAGATCAAGTCTCAAGACATGAAAATTTTTTATAAAGGGATAATAATTTTTTTGTCTTGTAAGTTTGTTTTAATTATTGATTTTGTTGTTTAAGTTTAATTTTTATCAATTTAATTCTTTAAGTTTCCTTAGTTATTGACTTGGTCCTTATTATTCAAAGAAAAGATGACACTGTTAAAGTCTATTGGCATGGACAATGGAATATTGATGGTAACTATGGATTAATAAAAAAGAAGTATATAATTGTTTAGTTAAGAATAACATAGACTTAAAAACTTAAAAACAAAAAAAAAATGAAATACAACATAAGAGACTATATTGATAAAAATTACTCCTTTCATTTTTATATAAAAAATGTTTTTAATCGAATTACGTAAATCAATAAAAGTTAATTATCTAATTAAAAGTATAGTAATATTTTAATTTTGCCTTTACTTATTGTAAATAAAAAATAAATCTCTTTTTTCAAAGTAAATTAATGAGAATAGTATCTTTTTCTCTTTTCAATTTAATAAGGATATAATGGTTCATTCATTAAAAATACTAATAATCTCTTACATTTAGGAACAAAATAAGATTTCAAAAAATATTTTATCTATAGAGACAGAGGGAGTAAAATAATTTGATGGCTAATTTATTCTTTTTTATTACATGTACAGGCCAAGTCATCAATACACTTTACAAGTTATATTATTTAAAAGTCAATTCTTATTTTAAAACATAAAAAACGAAAATGATAATTTAAAAGAAAAACATAAGAGACCAAATCTATAAATAAGACAAACTTCAAAAACTACAAAGTTTGTTATCCTAAAATTTTATAGAGGGATAATGAAATTTCAGGTCCCTCAAGTTTGATTTAATTATTAATTTGGTACTTAAAATTTAATTTTTAATCAATAAAGTTTTCAAAATTTCATAACCATATACAACTATTTTTTATGATTTGTATAAAAAAAATGATACCATAAAGGATAAAAGTGCATGGTCATGAAGCCTTAGGTTTTGATTGATAAAAATCAAATTTCAAGAGTGAAATTGATAAGTGAAGTTAATTTTAGAGACTAAAAATCTCATTATCTTATTTACAAATATATTTATAAGTTACTTATTAATAATCTTTACATTCATATTCGAATTTGTATTTAGGGTCTAGGGATGAATCTTTTATTCTTTTTTCTTTCTAGAAGATGTAAAAAAGTGACTAAGTGATGACCTTATGGAATTTGAAGGAGTCCTTTCATTCATTGATTATATTCACATTAGGTAAAATTACAAATAAAGGACCATATCGTGAATTATAGATAATTACAGACCTCAATTTAAGCAACGGAAACAACTTATATGTGTCACAATTTTTTTTTAAAAAATATAATTTATTAGTCAAAAAAAATAGTTGTGTTACTTCCAAATTCAGAAATTCAATTTTAAAAAGCTAAATTCATAAAGTACGTGTTTGATGAAGCTAAGGGAAGAAGAGGATGGGAGCGGAGAGTTACTCTCCTTCTCTTCCTTTCAATTTTTGAACCCCGCAAGGAATTTTCTTCTATTAAATACTAACCAAACACACCTTGAGTGTTTTAAAAAACTACATTACAAACATAATTAAATTTCACTTTAATTAACTAAGTTTCAAGCAATTTAATTAGGAGAAATTCTTAGTTGTTAGAAAAATCTAATGATTCATAATTATGAACTCAATTTTTTAAAAAGAGTATAACTTTTGATATCTAATTTATTTTAATTATTGATTTGGTCTTGAACTTTGATTCAAAGTAAATTAGTCTCTTTATCTTTCTAATTAAACAAGTGAATCCACATAATTTTTTAATTTTAAAATATTCAATCTTCATAATTTTTTAATTGAATAAAATCTAAAAACTAAATTGTTTTGAATCAAAGTAATCAAGAATTGGGACTTGAGAGAAATTTTGGAAATTAAAGTTAGATTTTTCCTTTTTTTTTTTACAGCAGATTTTCCTTTTTTTTTTGAAGATTTGTTTCAAAAAATTGATATAAGAACTCCAAATTTACATAATTTTGATATAATAAGATACTATATAAGAATTCCCTCAATATTAAAAAATCATATTCAACTATTGTTAAATCTAATTCATGGTAACATTTTAATAGATTTTTTTTTTTTCATTTATAAGATTATAATCCTCAATCTTACTCTAAAAACTTAAGAAGAATCGAGTTCCTTTTCACTTAATTTAACAATTAGTAATAGCTTTTCAATCCATTCTTTCCCTTGGATTTGATATGTCTTTAGTTTCAAACATTTTTTTTATCATTTTTTTCTATTATCTTGAGAAAAAACTAACATTTTTTAAGATGTATAAAATAATTAAAAGTGTCTTACAATAAAAATTGAAAAGTATATTACTATGTAAGCTGTGAATAACACAACTATATAAGACAAGGTATTGCCAATAGATAAAAAAGGAAGGATAAAGGAAAAAAATAAGAAGAACCAAGTTATTCATATTCTTGCTCAAGATAACGTTGATTTAAAGAGAATCCACTAAGTAAAACAACCAAAAAAGAATAAATCTAAGAAGAAAAGGCAAGAATCAATCTAATTGAGGCCAGAGACTAGAAAGAATATTTATTCCCTTTGATTATATTTATTGATAATAATAAGTAAATATCGTTAAATATAACTTAAATTGACCAAAAATATCAAAACTTTTATTTCTATTTTTGTTTTTTTTTAATAAGTAGAATAGGTAATACAAGTCACTGGTTGCCCATGGGCCAGCCCATAGTGAGCTGAATTTTGGCAAGGCCAGCCTGCTAGAAAAATGGACTAGTGAAGCCCAGGCCAACTGGCATGAAATATAGACAAAAAATATTGATAATAGGTATAAAAGAATAAACCTGTAATTTTCCTGCAAAATAATAATAATAATAAAGCAGTGATATTTCAATTAATATGTCAATTAAAATGAAAAGGATAGACGAGAAAGTTTTGAGACATTGCACAAGGAAATACAACGAATTTCCGAATTTTAGAAGGTTGACTAATTTGCACACTTGGTAATATTCTACAATTGAAATAAAATAAAGACAACAATTCAGAGATTAAATTATCAGCATTACTTAAATGAAAAAGATATGAACAAAATCAATTAAGGATCGTGAATCTGTCTGGGGTTTTGCTAAGATCGAGCTAATAAGAAATTAAAATTTGAATTTCATACGGAGGTTATACCACCCTCTCTTCAAAACACCCACAAAAGTCCAAGCCTTAATCTTAACAAAAAGCTTGATGTTTTTAACCTTTGTCTCCATTTGATCTTTCAATACATTGAATTGAATCCAATCCAACGTAAGAAGATCGAAGCTTGATTTAATTGAAGATGAAGCGATCTTTAAACGTAAAAATGAAGATCTCAGCAGAAAAATCAGAGAGATTCCAATCACCTTGCTCCTTCCGTTGCTGTTCCTTTTGGTTTTTCCTTTATTCTTTTTTTGGGTCTAATTTTTATAGTGCCTTTGTCATGAGGTCGCTGAAAAGCCCCCCAACAGAATTTGGTTATCCTTAATGCTGGTTGATTAATTCAATTAGTCGTCTGTTACGCTGCAATTATGGTAAGTGGAAACTGAATACTGTCATGTAATTTAGTCAAATATTTACTATTTTTAGTGCATCCATTTTTTGCTCTTTTATGAGGTTTATTTGATTATTTGATGGATGATGAATCATACAAACTTCACTAAATTTTATCAAAATTATATATAATATTATTTTTTTTAGTTATACACTCTTTTTTAATAGAAAAAAAGTTGAAAAGGAATTTAATAATATATATTCGTTCTATTTTACATTTATTAATTACATCCCTAATTAAGAATGTTTCTGAAAGGGAAAAAAAAAATCCCTTATTGATTACACGTTGAGAGATCCAACATGCCTTATGCTATTTTTTAACACAATACTTTAAAAAATATGAACAGCTCAAACTCACTCACACAAATTAAGGTATAAGCTGGCTTGCGTGTTATAGTATAGCTGTGAGCCTGTGAATTGAATGCAAAGATACTATCTCAGACTTACATGTCTTATATTTTAGACCCTACAGGATTTCTAGATTGACTATTATACTATCTGAGACGCACGAATCAAAAAAAAAAAAAAAAAGCATAATTGAGAAGGACAGAAGGTTGACTATGTTTGGTTAGGTGAGAGCATCCATTATACACTGATGGATGTAACAAACCGTAATACTCCTCTTTGTTAATCCTCTTCTCTCTTTCTAAACCATAGCCTTTGTTTATTAAGAGGGGAAAAAGGCTCTCCATATAATAGACAAAGAGGACTATTTAAACAACATAATCATATAGGCAAATAATTATTCTTCACAACCACGGGTGTTCTATGCCTTATGCTTATCATGAATAACTTCAACAAATTCCAGCATGGAAGGAGAGATTATTATTCAGTTAAAGAAATGGCAAAAATTAAAAGAGGCAGCACGATATGCACAAATAGAAGCTGGAAGCAAAATGAAGGGTAGTTTCTCTCCATGGCACCGAAAAAACCTTTTGGGTCTCATGGATAAACTCTTGAAAAGAAAATTTACAAACAAGAAAGCTAATGCCTCGTATATTCTAAGAAGCAAGGATTTTGCTAATAATCAGCCGATAGATTGCTTACTTGACTAATCTCCTTTGGTGGGTGGGTGCACACACGAACAAAAATGTGCCCTTTTCTTTTTCTGGTTGCTTCTCGTCCCTCCAAATCCATAGAGATAGTCTCGCAAAAGGACTCTTGGACTTCGATCCGCCATCATTCTTGCTTTTCCTTTGATATCTCTCTCTTCATCAAGTTTCAGCAGAAGAAATTGTAGTCTCTGCACTTCCAATTGCAAAAGTCCAATTTTCTCTGATCCTCTCCGTGCCTGTTCGGAAACTCTCGTCCTGCTGATGCTTCCACTCTCATCTGAATCTGGTTCAGGATTTTCAACAAAGGACAGTTTACCCTCTTCTACATTCTTCATTAGCTTGCGGTTAGCATCAAACAACTTAGTGATGGACTCCTCAGCAACTTCAAGCTGCCCTTTCACACTATCATACTCATTTCCTTTTCCCTTTGTGCTCTTTTCAGTGGTCTCAATCTTCTTGATCAAATCTTGCACAGTAATTTTAAGGTTTGCTAACTTCTGTGCATCAGAATCAAGTCTTTCTATAATCTTCCCTTTGTTGTCTTCTTCACGTGGCTGTGTCAATCTTCTTGAGATCTCTAGTTTGTCCACACTCAACTCCTTCTCAACCAATGATTCTACAGAGCGATGCTTATTTTTGGGTTCTTTGGTTACTCCTATCTGATGGTAGTTGGCTGGTCCGGTGGTTGGCTCTTGTTGCACCTTACCATCTCCGAGGCCAATACTACTATCCCTGTTAGAAGTTTCCCATAGCTCGAGCATCTGATCATCAACCTCAGGAGTTCCTCTCCTACTTATCCCATAGGATGAGCTTTCAGACATTTGATCAAGCATGATGTCTTTTGTCAAAACTTCATTCTCTGCCACAGGAATGTCTGGAATTGATTTCCCTATCTTCTGCTTATCAATAGTCCCATCCTGATGCTCTTTTGCTTTATTTATTCGAGGGCCACGGTTGCTAGAATGAGTGTTTTCTCGATTCCATCTAATTCCAGTTTGTAACTCCTGAATCTCCCTCAATTCATCCTTCGGTTTGAAAATTTCATTCAAATGTTTAACAGCCATTTCGATTGCATTGATCTTTTTCTGCATTTCTTGAATGTCTGGAAGTGCATCTGGCGCCATGGTAATGTGGTTTTCACTTGTTTGTGGATCTCCTTCAGTGTATTGGTGGTTCGTCAAATTATTAACCTGCATAATGGTGAATACAAGCCACATTATGATATCCAGAAGAGCATGCAATATAATACTGTGGTGTAATTGAAGAAAGGGGAATAAAGCAATCATACTATATAACAAGGAAATCCACCAATGCCCAAACTTTTTACAATGACATCTGAGACAGCAGCAGCCTACATTATTACATGGCCTCAAGCATTCAAACAGGCAGTCTATTGTTTAACTCAAAAATTAAAGCCGCCTATAAGAACAAAGTAAATGTAGGCATGCGCAGGTTAGATTTCAGCCTTCAGGATGAACAAATTGTGAAGGGAAAAAAAAGCATAAGATATGTGCGGTTGACATTTTCATTCTGCCACACAGGCTTGCAATATTCGACAGCAGTCCAAGTCATGGTAAACAACTAGAGATATTAGAATAGACAGATTAGGATTGGGGTGACCACGGGCATTTAGCCCAACAGTTCCATACCATGTCTCAAGCACACAGGAGTGCAACATGTCAAGGAATCCAAAACACAACATTTAAACCTCCAAAAATATTTTCCTTCCCTCGTTCAGGCAGACACGCACAGACATTCACAGAAATTAAAATAGTGGAACAATGAATTCTGAGGCAATATGATGGGAAAAGAAACAGAAAATATGTTAGTACCTTTGATTTTTCACAGTTGTGTAGTTCTGCATGCACAAGAGTCCGCATCTCTAAAGATGCGATGCAATCCTTCAAAGCACTGACAGCTGGGACATAAGCAGCCAACTGGTCATGTAATCTTCCATTTTGATCTTCCAACTTGCTAACTCTTTCTTTCATCCGTTCACCTTCAATACTTTTATTGTTATGTTCACGTTCAAGACTCTCACAAGTACTGGCTAGCTCACGAAACTTTCCTTCAATTAATGTTTCATTGGTAGTAGATATCTGCACTTCCTCATAGAGTGTGGTAGCTTGAGTTTCCCAGAGCTCAATCTCATTTGTTCCCTCCTTTAGTTGATAATTTAACTTCTCTTCTCTCAGTCTAGTTTCTTCAACTTCTTCACAAAGATACCCCACTTCAGATTCCAACTTCTGATTCAACTCACGCAGACATCTGAGCTCTTCATTCTGACTCTCACAAGTATTGGCTAGCTCGTGAAACTTTCCTTCAACTAAAGTTTCCTTGGCAGTGGATACCTGCACTTCCTCATAGAGTGTGGCAGCTTGAGTTTCCCAGAGCTCAATCTCATTTGTTCCCTCCTTGAGTTGATAATTTAACTTCTCTTCTCTCAGTCTAGTTTCTTCAACTTCTTCACAAAGATGCCCCATTTCAGACCGCAACTTCTGATTCACCTCACGCAGACATCTGAGCTCTTCATTCTGACTCTCACAAGTATTGGCTAGCTCGTGAAACTTCCCTTCAACTAAAGTTTCCTTGGCAGTGGATACCTGCACTTCCTCATAGAGTGTGGCAGCTTGAGTTTCCCAGAGCTCAATCTCATTTGTTCCCTCCTTGAGTTGACAATTTAACTTCTCTTCTCTCAGTCCAATTTCTTCAACTTCTTCACGAAGATGCCTCATTTCAAACTCCAACTTCTGATTCACTTCACGCAGACATCTGAGCTCTTCATTCTGACTCTCACAAGCATTGGCTAGCTCACGAAACTTTCCTTCAACTAAAGTTTCCTTGGCAGTAGATACCTGCACTTCCTCATAGAGTGTGGCAGCTTGAGTTTCCCAGAGCTCAATCTCATTTGTTCCCTCCTTGAGTTGACAATTTAACTTCTCTTCTCTCAGTCCAATTTCTTCAACTTCTTCACGAAGATGCCTCATTTTAAACTCCAACTTCTGATTCACTTCACGCAGACATCTGAGCTCTTCATTCTGACTCTCACAAGTATAGGCTAGCTCATGAAACTTTCCTTCAGCTAAAGTTTCCTTGGCAGTAGATATCTGCACTTCCTCATAGAGTGTGGCAGCTTGAGTTTCCCAGAGCTCAATCTCATTTGCTCCCTCCTTGAGTTGATAATTTAACTTCTCTTCTCTTAGTCTAGTTTCTTCAAGTTCTTCACAAAGGAGTCCCACTTTAGACTCCAACTTCTGATTCACTCCACGCAGACATCTGAGCTCTTCATTCTGATGATCCTTGTCTGAGGATAAGTTCAAAATTTGACGAGTTTGATCATCAAGTATCACCTTGGCTTCATCGTACTTAAATTTTAAATCTTCCAACATTTCTTGCAACTCTGTTTTCTCGGTGTGCAAAGCTCTAAACATTTCTGATGCAACCAAAAGCTCGCTTTCCTTTTGTGACAGCAATTCCTTTCCTTTCTGAATCTGACAACCCAACTGATCATTGACAGATTGAACTGATTTTAGTTCAATGCTTGATCTGTCAAATGACTCCTTAAGATATGAATTTTCCATTTGTACATCTTCTAATTTTTCTGTCATAGCTTTCAACCTATTCTTGAGGTCGTCATTTACTGAACAAAGTTCACCAAGATCTTCATTTAGCTCTCTGAGTGCCAGGACCTTTTCAAAGACAATGTTCTGGTAGATCAGAGAAATATTAGATTGAGCCATTGTATCATGAATCATGGCACAGATTTCTTCTTCCAAGTTGCCTTTCTCTTCACCCAGATCTAAGAATCTTCTCATCAAGGAATTTTTCTCTTCCCATGTATTGCAACTTTCATCCTGTAAGTTTTTGTGAGCCCGCTCCAAGTCCGACAGCTGCTGAAGTAGAACCCCTGTTTTAGTAGCCATTTCTTCAATTCTCTGTTCTCCCTTGCTTATAGTCAGTTTCAATTCTTGATTCTTCTCTTGTATGCTTCGGACCTCTGCTTGTAAGGCCAATAACTGCTCAGACTGGATCCTCAACTCCTCATCAAGGGAATCTCTTTCTGTCACAAGTTTTTCCGCCTTTACCTTCAACTGCCCAAGGAATGTGACAAGAACTGAATTCTCAATGGCCAGGTGGTGGTTTTCGTTGAAAATTGTATCTAGACATTTCTGTCTCTCCTGAATTTTACCATGTATATGGTCCAGAAGAATGTGGTCTTGTTCAGCCATATCATCAAAAGAATGGTCCCTGTTAAGGTCTAGAGTGTTCGACACCTGAAGCAGCCCACTCCTATGTATTTTGATTCTGTCAAACAAAGAATTCATCTGAACCTGCTTTTGAACCTTTTCATTCTCCAAATTTGATACCAATTTCTCAGAAATTTTGTATTTCTCCAATAGTCTCTGATACTCAACTAAAAGGGAGAAGTTCTTTTCCTCCAGATCCAGGATGCATTTTTGCAAGAGGAAAATTTCAATTTCAGCATGTGCAGCTCTATCCAGTTCTTCTTCGTATTCCTTTTTCCTACAATTTGCATCTTCTTGTGCAATATGAAGTTGTAATTCCTTCTCAGCCAAGTGTCTCTCATTCAATTGCACAATTCTGCAGTGTTCTTCCCTCTCTGCATAAAATGAAACCAGAAGCTCCTCCACCTTTTGAAGTGCAGATTCCTTCTCACCTTTCAGTTCCAAATGCCTTAGTTCCAGCTCACTATGTTGATTCTCGATACTTTTCAGCATTCGATGAGCAACGTTCAACTGTTGCGCTAAGGTTTCTTTCTCAGAGATCAGATTGGACTTCTCAAAGCCAAGTAATTGGTGTGAGTCTTCTAAGCTTTTCCACTTCACCTTTAATCCTTCAAGTTCAGCATTGGCATCAAATAATGAATTTTCCAGAAGGTTGTTCTTATCGGAAACATTCTCTAGCTTCTCAGTCATAGTTTGCAACTGAGAAAACAAGCTAGCCTTCTCAACAGTGAGAGTGGATTTCTCCTCGAGTAGAGATTGGCACGTTTCTTCTAAGAACTGTACCTTTCCTCTGACACTTTCTAATTCAACATTCAGGTCTGAGAGCGAATTCTCCAAAACAGTATTTTTCTCCAAAAGTTTCTCCATTATCTGCAATTTTTCCAGAAGAACTGCTTTTTCACCTCTGTCAGCCTCACATGTCTCTTTCAACTTTGAATTCTCATCCTGTAATTTCTTCACAGTAAACCCAAAGCATCGTGGATCTAAGCCAGTTGAACTAACCTCCTCGATCATGGCATCATGCCTTTCATTCACATCACTGAGCTCCTCTTTAAGACAGTAAATTTCTTGCTGGAGAGCATTTCTCTCATCTACTCGCAGTTCAACATCTTGTTCGGGTTTCTCTATTGTCTTCCTCAGATTAAATATTTCATCCTGCAAATTTTTAGTAGACAAAGATGAAGAAATTTTGAACTCATTTAGAATTTTGTTTTCCTGCTTGACCTTTTGTACTTCCTCTTCTAAAGCCTGCTTATGAAATTCTACATTCTCCAGAACTTCAGCGTTATGGTGAAGCTCAGCAGCAATAGATCTCAGTTCTTCTTGAGATTGAGAGTGCAAATTCTGAAGAGTTTGGAAAGCCGTTTCAGCCTCTACAAACCGTAACCTCTCCTCTTGTATGCAATTCCAAAGCCTACAAAAATCCTCTTGCTTCTGACTAAGTTCTTCATTTTGACAGCCCAACTTCTGCACCAAAGACTGCAGTTCAGACTGCATATTTTCATTTGATGTTTCCAAGAGTAGACACTTCTGCTCGGAACTCAGCAACTTTTCAGCACTGTCATCTATCTTGAAATTTAGCTTACGCACCTCCTCTTCAGAACAAGAAAGTTTATGCTCCAAACTGGAAATTATTTCCGAGCATTGCCGATAACGAAGAGCTGCATCTTCCTTCTCCTCAGTTAGTTTAGAATTTCAAACTTCAAGGCCTCAATTTCATTTCCAGCTTTATTAGCTTGCTCATTAATCTTTCTAGCATTCTCCTCAGCTAGTACTAATCTGTCCTCCAACTTCGATACTGTCTCCAAGCACTGTTTGTACTGATCAAGGGCTGCTTCCTTTTCAGCTTCTACTGCAGTAAGGTCTTTTTTAAGGGATTCAACCTCCGTTTCAGCTCTAATGACTCTTTCATTAAGTTCTCCGACGTTCTTTTCAGTAGAGGAAATATTTTTCTCCAGGTTGGATACTTTATCCAAGCACTGCTGGTACCAAAGAAGGCTAGTTTCCCTTTCAGCCTGCAATCTACTAAGAATTTCTTTCAAAGTTTGAACTTCTGCTTCAGCCTTGCCTGCTCGTTCATTGAGTTCCCGGGAACTGTCTTTTGCATGAGATACTTCTGACTCTAGATTAGACAATCTCTCCAAACTCTGCTGATATTGAAGCAAGCCAGCTTCCTTTTCATCTTCCAAGTTAGCAAGAGCTCTTTTTAATGCCAAAATTTCTGCCTCGGCCCTCGTCACCTGTTCAGACTCAGACAAAACTTGAGCTCTGATGTCATGGTTCCCATCATTTTTTTTATTATTATCATTATCCACATCATGAAAATTAAGCTCTTTTCTAGCGCGTCCCTCTCCAGGCATGAAGAGATCATTGAGCTGTTTCAAGCCCCTTCTGTTTTTAGCAGAATCAGGTTCTTCAGTAAAAGCTCCATTTCTTTTAATAGCATAGAAATTAGATGAAGGGTTTCCACAAGCATCCTTTTGCACTTCATCAGGGTCCATAAAAGCACGAGAAGAGTGAGACATCTCAGGAGTTCGTGGCTCAGCCTCCATAAAAGGAACACTTGGTAAATCATCTGCCGGTAACATAGGGACTTGGTTGGGAAATGCTTCAGCCATAGTCCGTTGAGCTTGGCGGATGACCCCAGTTGCATGATCATATCTTTCAGCCAAAGCACGGTATGCCCTATAAAACTCTTCAACCAATTTCATAAGCTCCGGGCGCTTTTTATAGTACATTTCTGCCCTCCTGGCAAAGGAATCTGCATCTTCTTCAATAAGCTTAATCATCTGCTTCACCTTGGAATCCATATCTGTTCAAGAGAGGAAGGCATTGCTAAGCATGTTTAGGCAATCAAGCTTTTTATTAGAGAAAATATGGAATCTATATAAAATAATGTTTACATTTACATTAAGTTTACAATATGCTCAATCTGTAAACTAATCAATATCTAATACAGTTAAGAGTACGACTCCAATCAGGTTTTGAAAAAAGCATATGCCAGTCTAATGCTATCTAAAACATTTCTCCACAAGTGCTTAAGTGCCAACAGCACAATTCCCAGAAGGAAATATTGTCGCATATACCCTGAGGAATAAGGCAAATACCCGCTATAAATGAAATAAAAAATGTGATACAAGAAGTACTAGGGCTAGATATGGTTTCGCACCACAGAGACCACCATTGTGCACATGTCATAAAAGAGAAGGCTGACATTTTATAAAATTAAAAACAAAACCATCTTGTTATGCTTCCTTCAAAATTTACTGTTGTAGGACAAGAAGATTTTTCAATAGAGTAGGATAAAAAAATTAAAATTCAGTAACATATAACATATTTGGTGATGACATTTTCATTCATAGTCTCATAAAGTGCATCATCTTGGGTCAGTGCACCAGGAAGTGAAATCTGTATTGTTTGAGTCAACATATACTATTATAACAGACGTCACTATTCACTAAAAGGACTGTGCTCAAACAAGATTCGTGCACATTTATCTAGTTAGCAGCTTTAAACTCCAAATGCATTTAAGTCATAATTTGTGCGGATTCATTGCCATCTCAGTAAGAGTTCATAATGGCTAAGTAAATGAAAGCTAGACAGAAAGAAAATCACTCAATTAGAGTTACTTGCTAGAAGTTCTATGTCAAAGGCATTTCTTCCTCCCATCAATAAGTGAAAACATACATGGTTCACATCAATCTCTAAAGCTAGCTACAGCAACTTCACTAGCAAAACCAGAAAAAATTGGAGCAGTACCGGTCAGATTTTCTTGAAGCCATTTTGAGTTCTTTGGACTTATGTGGCTGTCCCACCACCACGAATACTTTCTTTTAAAATCTGCTTGGGGCTTGGCTGCCATAGCTCTAGCTAATAACACCAACGCTTTCTCTTCTGATGTTATAGGGACTTAATCCGCAAAATTTGGATGATACAAGCTAGAAGTGGCAAGTGTGCGTTAGACCACCGAAATCCACACCAACGATGGGAAACCGAGTCTCTGTTGCTGCTTGTACATAGTCATGGAATAGACAAAATAAAAGCAATGCAAAATCTCAGTGTCAGATCAATTGAAATGCACCAAAAAAATTAAAGGCTTTTTTTCCTGAAATTGAAATATCAAATACAAATAATGAAAAGCACCACTGATCACTTTATCAGTAAAATCCAAGTTCCAGGATGTTATCTAGAACTTATCTCTGATCTCTGATAGCTTTCACAGGAGTTAAAGAATAAAATATCTGCTATCGCCAGGTCAATACAAACTACCCGATCAAAGACAAAATCACTAATTAAAACAAGTTCGGGAAGTTTGTAGGAGGCAGTCCCGATCTCTGTTACAGAAAAGGGATCAACGACCCAAAAAAGAATCAGAACTCGGACAATTATGAGAACAAAATCCATATTCACTAGATGTCAACAAATCAACCGCTTTCCTCAAGTTTTAATAAGAACTACTGTAACCTTGAGACAGTGACCATATGATTCGACCACTGATCAATTATCAAACTCATTTCAAGTAACGCTCCTTATAATAATTACTAAAGATCAGAACAAAATTCAGTGACAAGAGAGGAGGAGAAGATACAGAAAAGGTTCCAAGAAGAGCAAGAGATCAACCGTTAATGCACTCCGGCACAAAAGAAAACCAAAGCAGAAAGATTCTCGCAACAAATTGTGAAGCACATAATTCAGCTATCAAATAACTCACCAAAAAAATAATAATAATAATAATAATAATCGGTTCCGATCACCACCAGAGGCGATAAACAACCTCAGCTGCTTCTTTATTTCTTTTCCTCCTTCCTTTTCTCACCTTTCCATTTCCTCATGTTGGTTCTGGTTTTGGTCAGATCTCTGGGTTCACTATGCTTTGTCTCTCTCTCTCTCCCCTATTCTTCTTCTCTGCCTTTATGCTGTATGGAGGTTGGCACAGTCCTTTGAAAAAAAGGAAAAAAAAAAAAAAAAGTGGGCGGGCAAAAATGAAACCATCAAGAGCTACACGTGGTATGGATAAAGTTAAATCAAAAGAAAAGAAAATTCAATTACCATGTTTTACAGCTAACGCTAGCTTTACTTCAGCAATTCGATTCTGATAATTATGTAGAATCTGTAGTGCTCCTTTGGGACGCTAGAGCCAATGGACCTGAGGAAATGATTTTTAACGTTAGAAAGCAGAAACGGCTAGATTGTTGCAAAAGTGATGGGGACGACGATGATCACGCACTTCGATCATGTTCTTTCTAGTGTTTCTGAAATTTTGTCAAGAGGAGCAAAATCATCACCAAACCAAACATTTCGCGCGTGCATCAAATCAGTAACAATTTTCATTTTTCAGATCCCGAAATAATCTTTTGTTTTGCTCTGTAATAATAGAGTCCAATTGTTTTCTAAATAAATTAAAAAAAAGTTTGGCCAACTGTACTAAAGTCTGATAAAATCAACCAGATAATACGTCGCCGACTTTTCGTTGAGTTTTTTTTTTTTTTAATTTAGTCGATTGGCATGAAAGAAAAATTAGCCCAACGTTACGACGGTTCCTAAGAAGGAATTTATTTATTTTAATGGCTGGATTTTACTCCTCTTGCCATGATTAATTAATTAATAATTTTTGCATCAACGTAATTTTTGTGGAATAGAATAGATTTGAAATCATCGTTTTCAAAAGATTTTCCTTTTTTTTTTTGAATGGAATGTGTTCTTGGTGAGAAGTATTTTATTCGGCTTTCTATATCTGAAATGAAGAAAAACCTGTCCGGATTATCTATTATTATCGTTTTCCAATTACCATATTTTATTTTATTTGCAACGGCAACAAAATAAAAAACAACAGTCGCACGGTTGGTTTGGTATTTCTGAGTCTGATGTGGAAAACGAAGGATGAAAGTTGAAACTTGAAACATGGAAAGAAAGAAAGAAAAACTAGCCAGAAAGGACAGAAATTTCAGAGGATATGACTTTTTCTTTATCCTTAAGCATAAAAATATAATTGTTTGTTATTATGCAAGCATAATAAATACTCCCTGTTTTATTGTAAAATATTTTAAAATTTTTTACATATTTTAAAAAAATTAATTTTTATATAATATAATATGTACTTTTATTTTTATTTTTAATTTTAAATAACGGTATGATTATATTAAATACTTTTACATTAATAAAAAATAAATTTAAAAAAGTTTTTTAATTATTTTAAGACATCTTATATTTTAAATTAAAACTTATTTTTAGAAAGTAATCAGAAAAAAAATCATGTTTTTCAGATTTTCTTTTGTTTCTCGAACTTAATTTATTTTAATGAAGATGTTAATTAGGTCAGGAAATTATGCCCACGTGTTGGCCTTCTACTCATCGAAACACATTAATCATGCACTTAAATATTTTAACATATTTTCAGATGGAGAAGCAGTTGCACGCTTCTCTTTAAAATTTTAAAAATAATAAGTCATTTTCAATCAATTTTGAGTTTCTGTATTACATTGTCTTTATATATATTCATTATTTAACAGAGTAACTCAATTATAAATAAATACAAAAAATTTATTAATTTTAAATATTCAGTAAGAATTTTCTTTGGAAAAACATCATAAACTACTCCTATAAAACATATAAAATTTTATATTTTTAAATATGATGTTGTATCTCTTACAAAAATATCTTATCTTTCCCCTATTTATAATATAGGGCATTAATAACTTCTCTCTCCCAAATCATTTTTTAAAGGGATATATATTTAAAAATATAAGACATTTTAATGTTTCAAGATATAATTAATATATTTTTAAAAAATATTATTAATAAATAAATTATTTTATATTTATTTTTACGTAAAACACCTTTTTAGATAAAGATAAATATAAAATTAATGAAAAGATATTGTTAGTTTAAAAATAATTAACTAATTTATTGTTGTGAAATTTAATTTAAAATATCTTACATTTTTAAACAGGATAAAGTATTTCATAATTTTCAAAAAATAGTTAAAATCTTAGTAATTAAATTTTTTTTATATCTTTTTAATTATGCTCTTATTTATTTTTTTGAAAGGTAATTACATTTTTATTAAATGTCTTATATAAATGATTTAATAATGACCAATAAAGTTATCAAGTGAAGTTGAGTTTTGAGAAGAAGTTAACGCTCACAATATAACAAATAAATATTATAACTTTTATGAAAGGATATGCTCATATTTAATGTATTACAGTGTCTCAAACATCACTATCTTTAGAATAATATTTGTTAATAATCAAAAAAGGTTAGGAGGTAAAAGCATCCTTAAAAAAAAAAAAAGAGTATCCGTACCTTTGAAAAAAATTAATGTTGCATTGAAAGTGTGGAAAGTAAAGTAGTCTCACCTTACATTATTAGTAAAGGGAATAATTCAAGTTAAACTTGACGAACTAATTTAAATCCGCATGAAAGAAATTAGCATCGAACTTAGAAAAAATATAATTTTTTATATTTGGGCTTATTCGGATAGACCTAAGAAAATTTGAGCCAAGCTCAAACCTGATCAAGCTTGGCCTGAATACCCAAATAATTTTTTTAAAAAAATATATTAAATATAATAAATATTAATTAATTAAGTTTTAAGTCATTTTTTACTAAAATACTATATTTTGAGTCCTATACATCATTTAAGTATCAAAAAATACATTTTATATTTTTATAAAATAAAATAATTAATTTTAAAGTAAAAATTTTAATTAAAATAATTTAAAAAATAAAAATTTTGAATATACGAGCCGCGCGAGTCTTAAAGGAATTTGATTCAAGTTTAACTATTTGAATTTTTTAAAAAAATGAGCCTATTTAAGTTAAATTTAAATTAGCCTAGCCTGTCTAAATTTTTAACTTTAATTATTAAAAAAAGCTTACAAACATTGCAGGTTTGACTTCTCTTTCTTTCTTTTTCTTTTCATTTCCTCTTCGCTTTCTATTTTAATCATTGAGTTTATTTATAAATGGTTGAAATTTAGTATTTTATTTAAAAAAATAGATTCAAGAGATGGAGAGTGAAGAAAAAATAGAGGGAAAAATGAAAAGAAGGCGGGTCCGACGTTTGCCCCATGTCAGATGACCAATTTTAAATGACACATCATCTTCTTCCCTATTCACGGTCATCTCTTCTACTCTCGCGTTGTTATCTCTGCTGTAAGCTTCAACCCTCGTTATTCCTTCGATTGTGGTGTATTCTTGTGAGTTTAGGTGGTGCGCTCTCGTGCAGGTTCTCTTCGCTCCCAAACTCTCTCTCTCTACAGTCAAGAGTTTATCACGTGAACTATCTAAATCTTTTCTTCTTACACGGCTGCCATACCTGTGACTTTGCAACACTCGTTTTTCCTTCCCATTCACTACCAAATAACTTCAGCTCTGAATTGGTAGGCACCTTATAATTGAAGAATCGAGACCTAGATTTAAAGAAATTTGTTCTTGAATGGGGAGAAGTTGACCATCCGATTTGACAAATATCCCATTAATTTCAATCAACGAATCAGCCGGGTGGGAAATTTTTGCACCAAAAGAAAAGAAATCAAGAGTTTAATGGAGAATTTGGGATCGAACTTGGAAGATAGGACAAGTACTCGAAGATCGCAAGACTTGCTTCTCGAAGAAAAAGGCAGAAAGAAGGAGGCGTGTAGTTGCAAGTAGAATTTATCTGCTCATGAAGGGAAACAAAGACGAGCAAAGGGTGACCTACTAGTTGAAAGGTGTTGGAACGGGGTGGACGACGTCGTACGACGGAAATGACAAGGAAGAGACGGACAAAGAGTGGGGTGGGATTTGAACTTCGCGGCACGTGACTCCTGAGGAGAGGGAAAGTGGTGACGTGTACAGTGAAATTTTTTTTTAGCAGGAATTTCAAGGTTCAGAATTGACACATGGGTGACAGATTGACAACTGTATCATTTTTCATATTAAAAAAAAAGTCTGAAAAAGATAACATTGCCTAACTGTTTAACATTTCCGGAGCAACATTATTTCTTTTAAGAGATAAAGATATCGATGATTCCTTTGAAAAAACTTTTAAATATTTTTACCTTTAACAAATAAAAAATAATAAACCATTTTTTGAGAAAGAAAAATGAACCACAATTTCTAGAAAATATTTTATATCGTGCACAAACTATTATTACTGGAGTGTTTAATTGCCGTAGCTACTGGAGTGAGGAGTGACCCCCGTGGATTATATAAAATTCATTCAATGCCGGTATCTACTCGTCCAAGTTCCAACTTTTGTTAAAAAAAAAAATACTAATGCTAACCTTTAAAACAAAAAAGGGAGAATTGCTTTAAAAAAATTTAAAAATAAATTTAATTCACAAATTGTTAAAATAATAATATATACTTATTTTTTTAATGAGATTTGTTATTAGTTTTTATTTTATGTCAGGTTATTAAATGTAATTCTCTCAAATAAAAATGTCATGATAAACACAGAAGATGCGGGTAGCTCTCTCTCTCGTGTAAATGGGAATTTCATTAACTCAAATGAGTAAATACAAAGTACGAGAAGACTGTGCAGGTTAGGATGAAGGAAAAATACAACAGAAGGCAAAAACTAAGAAAATTACATCATCATATGGAAAAAGTGTAAAGGATTTAAGCGTGTGATGCGCGATAGATCTGACACTGCGTAGAATAACTTCAGAAGTGAAAGATTCTCCAGTTAAAATGCAAAGGTTCCTAGCCTCCAAGAGTTTCCAACATAAAATACCTATATCAACCTTTCAGAATTTTTCAACACAGCTTTTCATCAGAGTTTTTGTGAGCCATGTATCCAGACTCCAAACTACTCCCTCCAATCTCATTTATCAAACATTTTTAAAAAAATTATTTGATCTCATTTATGAATTATAATGTAATTTTTTAAATAATATTTAAGAGATATTTTTAAAATTATTTTTCATAAGAGAGAAAAATAACATGATATTATTTTTTTAAATTTATCATATAAAAATATATTTAAAATTTTACATACTTTTATTATTTATATTTTTTTATATTAATATTAATAATGTTAGTAAAAATAATTTATAAAGAGGAGTATGTCCGTAAAAATCTGTACACAGGGTGCCTCTCTTATAAATAAAACGCATCATTCACGTTCCCCACAGCAACACATGGTGCCAGCGTCAACAACTACTTCCCTCATAATTAATTTGGTCCACTTCCCTAATTTGACCCCCTTTTACTGCCGCTTATATTAATATTAAAATATTAATTTACCATATCGTTATTAATTGATTTAAT